CGCAGAAGTCAAACGGTGTAAGTCGTGTTCTCATCTTAAATGTTTAACCCTTTGCGGACGAAGATTCTTTGAATTATATTTACGAAACCTTCAGCGGATGAAGCTAAATTACATGTCGGTTGTTTAAACAATAGAAGAAATGGAAGCTACATGCCGATCTCTTGCTATTTGAGTAATTAAATCATTTGTTTACAACTTAGTATTCCGAATATGAAAATTTAATCTCCCAAAATGTCGACATTCGCCAGCAAAGGATTTACTCTTAGACTATTTTTTTATGTTTCACTTTGGGGCGGAACTTGGTTCGAATGAATAACAGGGCATAAATTCTAATAAAATGTACAAATAATGGAATTGTCTCCACCTGTAAATTAAGTGACTGATTTTCTTCGTAAAATAGATCCTAAACTGCCAGTGGGATGGACAGCGGTGCAATTCAAGCTGTTTGTCTGGTCAATTGACATTTTTTATTACGATCTTTGACTTATTATTCTATTGATAGTCTAAGGGTTAAAGGGTGTTTCTACTATTCAATCTTTCAGTTACTAATGCAATTATGGTACCACTTTTGTACTTAGGACTTAGTTCTGCAGTTAGTACCTTAATTGATTTATCAACTTATACTTCTAACGATAAAACCCCTTTTATGAAAGGAAAATGTGACTTACACTGATCGATTTCGAAGCTGTCCATAAAGAGAAAGTGTTCGGATATTCGCCTCCGACTTCATTTTTCGTACTGAATTGTATTGACGCTTTATCTATTGGAAACCTGTTAACACGTTGACTGTCGAATGGCGTCGCTTGAATGTATTTGACGTAAGTATTTCATATATATTAATAGATTTTACGACCACTGTGCAATTTCAAAATGAGGTTTATCCCAATGTCCGTTAAGAAATTCGCAGCTTTTAATTATTAGTTTCCACATTGTTAAACAACCGCTGGTAGCTAAGATATTACATAATGTAACAACACAAAAGAAACAAGTTTCTGATGATTCTTAAGTCTTCGTGAGTCCCTTTTTCCATCGAACTTTGATCGTATCAGGTAATATTATTCACCTAAATAATTGCAGCGGTGAGAAGTACCGATTTCTAATTTCATTTGAAAATTGTAAGTACGATTTCGTTATTTGGAGGTGCGCCAGATTTTTACGTATTTCTCGCGCCCTCCTCTCATAGAATACAATCTACGTACAATGTAGTCGCAGATCCTAAGAACTAATCCTAATCTTTATTCCCGTTCATAAAAAAGGTAACGGAATTTTACATTATCCGCCGCAAACGCGCAAATACATGAAATTCAAACGAGCTACTCGCGGCGCGTGGTTAGGTAACAACCGGCAGACGTTCATTAATTCGGTCTTTTTATTACATCTGTTTACATTCAAGATTTATCGACGACTGTCAATTTCGCAGGAACGAAAATTTTCTTCGTACGCGTTGCTCAATTGAATGGAAATAACCGATCGCATAACAAGACAATATGCCACGGTTAGACATCGTGAGCATTTTCTTTCGTGAGACGGCTAAAACACAATGGCGACACGTGTTCCATTCTTTATCGTCACGTAAACTTCAGGCTCTGCCTTATCCACAGCTTCCTGAACTTATCTTTATGAGCCGCCCGGCTATTCCGCATTGTTTCACGTCCGCTGGCCAACTGTTTAAGATTTCTTGGCTACAATTTCGAGCGAGTAACGATACCCCGGGGCAATTCGTTCCGTGTTCCTTAAATTATTTATTTGACAACGCACTTTTCTGATTCCATCACGATGCTACTAGGTTGCCCTTGGACTGAATTTCCTTCGTATTTTTGTTCGTTGATCATTGCTTGCTTTCACGAGTCGATACATTACACACTGTTACTTCCAACTGCGAATGCATTAAAGATCTAAATTCATTCAGAGTCCATTAAGAGAGGATTAATAACGTTAAACGATTCATTGTATAAGTAAACCCTTAAAATTCTGTATTTCCGTACACCGGATCGTCACAGATGAATATCAGCACTCATTGAAATCTCATAAAACAAGTTTCTTCGACAAAAAGAGACTAATAATATTGCATAAAAATTGCTATTTTAATCTTCTCGAATCTCACAGATCCAATAAAATTGTCTTCGTTCGATATGCCATTAAAATTCAGGTGACACAACACTTAAACTTTTAAGTATAGAAGCTAGCGTCTCTGTCGAAGCTAAAAAAGGAGGAGGAGAATCGAAAAACGAAAAAAAAAGGAGAAGTAAATCGATTGGGAGGGAAGATGGAAGAGTAGAGAGGGGACGAGGTGAGAAAAGACGAGAGAAAGAAACGACCTCTTGACGCCGACACGGAAGGGTAATTATAATCTTCCCTCTTCCTTCCTCTTTCCTCCCTATCCTCTTCCTCGTTCCACTCCTTGCCGGCTGTCCTCGTCACTCCAGCGGCGCGTCGATGGGGGCGCCACGGGCGGGAGAGAGAGGCGACGAGTACCACTCATAGGAGCGTAACAATGGCTTTCCATGCCGGCTCAACCAACCAGACGACCGACTGACGATCATGACGAATCGTTCCCCATGGGATTAGCGGGGTTCGACCACGTGGGCTGATCCCGATTTTCGTTGAAATCTTTTCGATTTAAGCACTAAGCGACTGGATCTCCTGCGTCTTCTCAATTATCGCATCGAAGCAACTCGAAGTGTACTTTAACGCATTAAATCGCTCAACGAAGGCTATCATGCAAATTCGTTTCAAATAAAAAATAGAAGAATGTTCTTCTAACCTTCCTCTGCCAGATGTATACCTTTGGAGTCCGAAACAACTTAGAATTGTTATTTGAAAAAATAAAAATCGAAGACTTGATCGTTGTCGATAGAGAAAGGATCTCCGAATTCTCTGAGTATCAAGAGTCTTTGTGGTAGGTTTAATCGATATAGAATACTTTGGAGGATAAGATATTTTTTAGGAATAAATATGAATAATGTTTGCAAGAATTTTTTATGGCGAGAATGAAAGAAAGAACGAAAAACTCGATAACGCCGCGTGGATTTTCAACAATATTCCCGATTCGAGATTGGAAACCTTTATCCGTGGCTCGCGTTTCGCTTTTCGGCATGGAAAATTTTCCGGGAACGATAAAACAGCGACGACAGGATCTCTTTGTTCGGAATCAGTCAGCGACTGGTTGCCGCGGCACCGAATATTTTCGACGGAAACACGACGAGCGATTTCCTTCTGTCCTCCGCGGTTTCATCGTCGCTGCCGTTTGATTTTCTCGATTTTCGATCGACAGATCCTCGGCTCACTTGAGTTTTCCAGGTCCCAATGCATATTTCACAGAATTAAAGATAGAAGACGACGAGCGACGTGAATGACAGTGTCAACCAGTGAATCGCTTTACATCTAATGTATCTTAAAATTCCATAGTTCTTCGTTGAAACTCAGACTTAGGTATTTTGCTTCGATCAGGACGCGTTTGAAAGCGAAGTTTCTTGTGAATTATAGAATGAACACTTCGTTTACCAACTATGTAAAGGCAAAGGTACATATTTTTTTTAATATTGGAACTGGTGTTAAGTTAAATTTCTATATTTACAGGAATATATAAAATCATGCATTCTCTGTTCTACAGTTCCAATTAAATCAAATTACTGTAATTCCTTCAACTAAAATAATTAGTTGCAACAACTGAGCTCTTAGCAAAATCTACAAAGATTGTCTGGCACTCAACAAAATAACATTCAAACAAAATTCGCATGGTATCAAATATCGTCAATTGCCATGAAACCTCAGATAGCGGAAACTGGATCATTTTCACCCAATCCTAACAGTTTGCATATTTGTCTATACATTTCCTTACATATTAATTCATTTGTGTGGTACACGTATAATTGTAACATATACAATCAACAATATGTGTAGCATTCGAAATAGAATTCTTTCTTAACACTAAATGTACCGCGAACGGTCAAATGGCCGGTTTTAAAATTTGATTTAATGTTCTCCGTTTTTCTATGTTTAATTACCATTAAATCAATCCCTATAATATTCGATTAACCCTTTCTCTAGAATGGATGAGACACCTCGGTTCCACGTTGTCGAACAAATGATACTATAGACGAGATATCTCGTCACCATGATAACATCGTACGTGCGACATCAATGATGACGAGATATCTCGACCATATCATCGTTTGTTTGACATTGTGGAACCGAGATATCTCGACCATTGTAGAGAAAAGGTTAATCAATTTTCAATTTTTGTCTTTCTTTCCGTTTCTGTTTCCAATAAGAAATATATATCGTTTAACTTATTTACCTTTACCTTATAACTAGTTGTTTGACTGATTACAGTAGGTTATAGGTACATACAAAGTGTTAGTGTGTTTAGCGTTAAAACCTGCGTACAAATCCTGTTATAGATGAAAACAGCCAACCGCCATGGAGGGTTAAGGGATAGTCGGCGCGTATCGCCTATCAACGGCCCAGAAATCATGAACCGGGTAGGTATCACCAAAGAAATCCCCTTGTCGGATCGTACCTGTTGGTCGGCGCCCGATGCGTGTGCAATAGCGCGGCGCGTCCCTGGTGCACGTCGCTGTAGTAGGATCCCGCAAACGGAACGGTGCATGTCGTGCTCGGTGAAAGCGAGCGAGACGTATGCCGAAGGTAGGACGGCAGCTAGAAGAAGACAAGCAACAGTTTCTTTATCGCAACCATGAACGTCCGCTAGAGAAGGACGGACGGGTCTTCGCGGCCGAAACGTCTATACTCTTCGAAGCAAAGAGGACAGGCTTATGCAGCTTTACGTTGCGTGGAAAGAGACGAAAGGTGAAGCGAAGGAAAGAGGCGCGAGACACTGAAAGAAGAGAAAAGAGAGGAGAAGAAACTCGCGGTACTGGAGGAACTGGGGAACAAGAGAGAGGAGGAGAGAGACGGTGGACAATCAAAGCGGAAGAAAGAGAGAAAGAGAAGAGAATGCAACGCGATAGAGGACCGGCGAAAGAGCCGAAGGCCTCTTCTCGCGGTCTCTCCTCGTAGATGAAGAATATCGTACGGTCGGCTGCGCTACGCGGTGTACCCGCTTGCACGTGCACGCGCGCCGGCCAGCTTGGTGAGCGTGACGACTGACAGTGTGCATCTCGCGGATGCATCGCGAGTTTTAGCTTGGCTCTCGTAAAGGAGAGATGTGTCAGCGTGCGTCAGTTCGAATTTTCTGAAACTTTCTATTACAAGTTTCAATGGATGGTGTAGGTACTGATGCATCGTGGTCAACCGCTGCGGAATCTCGGGATTCGTAGGGTGCGTTGATAGAGGGAAGTCAACCGAGATGGCATAACAAGATGGGACTTTTGTTCTGCTTATTCTATTGAATGATTGCTATGTGACTGTACCTATTGACGAATTGGCGCCGAAAATGCTTGAGAAGAGGCGTGCCTCTAACGCTGACCAATTAGACAGTGCACATCTTTTAGGTGTCTCTTCTCTAGTAACGCAGATTGTTGGGTATCGAGATTCTTTGGATTATGATATGAATTTATAATCTTAAAATTTTAATCTTTTGTAGATGGAAGTATTCCTGGTTCTTTATTATGGACAGTCTATCAATTATTTGATTCAAATGTAATTTGAATGTTCTTATTTTACTAGTTTGTTCGAAAACCTTTGATAGGAAACAATTGTAACAAATATTTGTAAAATACATAATTATTGGAATAAAATTGAACCCGACAGGACACAAGGCTGTAAAGGGTTAATGTGTTTCACAGAGTGCGTGTATAAATTGGCAAATAGAAAGTCGAATCGTGTCGAGTAGGCACTGTGTGTTGGTTACCTGTGGCCGACACCGTAATTAATCAGAGCGAGTATTCGCAGACTCGCCAGGCATCGATGATTTTGTTACACAGGGTAGCGAGCATCGGCGGGACAAATTCGCGGAGCACGGTTAACACAGCGCGACTCGATATTTCATAGATTTTACTGTTACGATCTTCGCGTGATACGAAAGTCGCTCGACGGCTGGCGTGGGATTTAATATACGGGGTGTCGAGCGAGTTTACTCGGAAATTTCGCCATTGTGTTCTATGGTTAAAAATGGGATTGAAATGTCGCTCGGTAGAGAATTTGGGAATATTTTATTACATAGTTTTGAGAAATATATAAAACGCGAACGTTGCGCGTGTCTTTGTAATTTAAAGTGTCGCCTGTTTTTACGGGTGCAGGTTTTGCGTCCACGTGATATTGAATTTATTGCAAGTCGGATTCAACTGCGATTTTCATCTAATTTCGACCGAGGAAACGCGAATTTCTTCGATCAATTCTAAACTTCTAAAAAATGAAGTGAAAGAGTGTCACCTTCTGCTGCTAAAAATTGCCTTTCGTCGGTTGTCAACGTTTAAAAGTCAAAACTCGGAGGTTTCTATGTAATTCGAAAGAAGTTTCGGATCCATCATCTCTGACATAGTTGCCGGAGGCAGGGATTACATCATCAACGCCCACTTACGATCTCGAAACGGTGCGTAATCATTCGCGATATGAAAAAGTTGCAGCGAACTGCAGCAATTTCGAGCGCAATCTCAAATTCAATGGGAGATACAAAAATGTTACTCAGCATGGAGTTTGAAACGAGGATCCATTATCTCTCACAGAATTGCTGAAGCCATGCAGTCGGTGGATTACATCATCGCTATTTCCCGTTTCTTATCTGAAGAGAAACAACAATGCATGTATGGTCGCGGTTTGAAAAGCTGCTACAAACTTCCAGTAATTCCAAATACAGTTTCGAATCTAATGAGACTCGAAGAAATTTGTTTTTTCATAAAATTACACGCGTATGCTTTGGAGAGAGACTGAGAATAATATTCTTTTACTAACTGCATAATTATCACTATTAAGGAAACGTTTGCGCACAATATGAACCACAGAAAATTCAGAAAAATGACGAGATTCATCATTTCCAACTGCAACAGCGTTACTAGAGTTACAGACAGGGAATTGCATCATCAACTCGCACTCTCGATTTAAAAATATGCAACGGCACGTTGTTTCGATCTCAGCTGAAAAATGACTAAGCCTGATGAGTACCTAGACCACGGATTTTACTGCTGATTTTTATGCTTGTTCTCAACAAAACTAAAGAGAAATGTCATTTCCATTTTCTAACAGCGACAAAAGAATTTAAAATTCTACGAGTGCTCCTATCTTACTACTTCTTCAATGTCTTTACTGCACAGACTGCCGATATCTAGGTAAATTCGTAATTTTAACTTGCAAATATCATGAACAATTTTATTCACTAATTTATCTACTCAACCAATGCAAAAATACGAATGCATATTTCAATTTATTTTTATCCAAGCTAAAGCACAGTAGTAACTCCATGGAAACAGACATTGCAAACAAATTGTTCTGTCATATAAAAAATAACACACGCATATACAAACTCGTTCAGAAATTCCTATTCTCAGTTCATTTGGTAATATTCCATGCAACGATCAACAAACGTAAGTTAATTCTCAATTGGCGGAGAAGTCTCGCACGAAACTAAACGAAAGAGATTTCATCAAGGGCAAATAAAAGGACGATGGGGGGATGAACAGGAAAAGCAACGACTCTAAATACCGATCAATCACGGGATGCTCGTTGCACCGGTAACTCGTCGTTACCTCCGTGCTGAGCCTCCGCATCCACGAACGACGAGGAGGAACGGGAGCGACCCGAACCGGCCGACTGTACTAGAATCCCGCTACTCGGGTAAAGATAGAAAGAGGAGCGAAAAGAGAGTAGTCAGAAGAGGGCACCGTCCGCCACAGGGGTGACGAAGGGGGTGGGTACAGGGATTCACCGGCAGGGAGGTGGGAATCAACAGTGAGAGGGGTAGAGAGGTTAGAGCTTGTTACGCGTGGCTTTTCATGGAGAAAGAGAAAGAAAACACGCTGGATTTTACCGAATCTCTCATTTACATCAGTTCCTCCTCTTTTCACTTTTCAAAGCTGGAAGAGAAAAAAAATAGACAACAAAGAGAAAGAGGAAGATGCTTTTGGAATCTAGGTAGCCGCGACCAAGTCCCCTCGATCGGCAAAACCAATCAGGTACGCGATCAGCGTCCATGGAACGTGTGCTCTTGGACGCCTTCGGGCCAGAAATTCCTCAAGGTCGTCCGTGGAAGAGCGACCCTATTGAGCGAGGGAAGAATTAAAGGGAGAGACGTTCCGCAGCGGCGGTGGCCGATAGCCGAGAGAGAGACTCTAAAAATAGGAGTACACGAAACGGAACGGAGCGGAAGGTTCGCGGCCAAGCAGCGTAAACATCGCCGATCTTAAGGACAGACCCCTTCCCGAGGCAAACCGCGCCGAGTCGTTGATACCGAGGAAACCAAGGGGCAGAAGGGGCGGGAGGTAGCCAGGGTCTGCGTGGTTTCGTGCACGGTGTTCCTGGATCACGTGGAAGAAGGATATCGCGAAAACCGCCTCGCGACGAACAAAGAGATTAAACACGTAGTCGGGGT